TGGGGAGAGCGCGCGGCGGCCGTGGGGCGGCGGCGGTGAGGCTGGGGGCGGCCTCGGGCGGCGGCGGTGAGGAGACGGCTGTGAGGGCGAGGGACTATTTGGGGAAGAATTGGTGGCCGGGGGGCGGTGTGGGGGGAAACCGCTGTTTAAGTGAAACGTAACGGTAGCGCGTTTCCGGAAACGCGCTATAGCTAAGTTAGCTATAGCACGTTTACTGAAACCCGCTACTGCTATTCCTTTCTCCTTTTTCCTTTTTTCCTTTTATTTTTCTTTACATTTTATTTTTTCCCTTTCTCCTTTTTCTATTTCTTTCATTTTCATTTACTTTTCTACTTGTTTTTCACTTTATTTTATTTCCGTTAGCAGCAGCGCTTTACACGTAAGCGTGCTGCAGCTAAGGAGATTAGCAGTAGCGCTGGGCCATTATACGCGCTACTGCTAGGTTGGGCTAGCCATGTGCGCCCAGTTCAAACGTAGCAGCAACCCTTTTCGCTAGTACGCGCTACTGTTAAAGTCATAGCAGTAGCGCGGTTTATTTACGCGCGCTGCTACTAAGTAGCAGCAGCGCTTGATTTTGTACAGCGCTACTGGTAAAATTCTGTGTATAGGCTTTTTCCTAGTAATGATTAGTCCGGCCCATGTTCAACAGGCCGGACGCCCGAGGACCCCTTAGTCCATGACTCCCTCACGGACCACCACAGGCGTCGCCCCTTGCTGTTCCACTGGCCGCCCGCCGCCACCGGTGCCCCGTTGGTGGAGGCGAGGCGTTGCTCCTGGCAGCGCTGAAAGTACGCCGCCCACGCCTCGTGGTTGTCGACAGCGTACTACGCGGAGGCGCGCTGCTCCTCGGTCAGCGATGAGCGAACGCGGTCGACCTCGCCGGCGAAGAGATCAGGGCGCGCGACGATGTCCGGCAGGGGGGATGGGGATGCCTCCGGCGCTGAGCCTCCATCCTATCGGAGCAACGCGCATGTCTGAAGGCGCCGGAATGTTGGCCTCGAAAAACATGTACGCCTCCCACGTTTGCAGCGAGCGGCGGTCGAAGCCGTTGGCCGCCGCTCCGTCGCCGGGGAACCGCTCGCACATTGT